CCTTAGCCCTTTTTTTTTTTTTTTTTTTGTACCGGGGATCAAACTCAAGACCTTGTGCTTTCAAGGCAGGCACAATGCCACTGAGCTAAATCCCCAGCTCTCACTGAACCATTTTTGCAGCTTTGTGATTCCCTTTTTCTTTCTCACTTCAGCTGTTTTACTCTATGTTTGCACATTAGATCAAAGAAATCGGCTGGGCAGACGTTGGAGGTTGGACTGGCCAAGGAGGGTCCATTCTTGGGACAAAACGGTAATTTCCAAGTATTAACTCTCTGACCTCCTCTGAAAGAAGAAAGGGCTCATTCCAGAAGAGAGGAGCTGGGTGTTGATACTTCTTCTCATTTATTGTAAAGAATTCCTAAAGGAAGAGACTCTGGGAATGGTACGGTACCATCTTTACCCCAGGAACTCGATCATGTTTCAGGCAGCAGCGGGTGAATCTCAGAGCTTGGAAGGAGAGGGATGGTAACTTGTATCAGTCACTTTTCCATCGCTGGGACACAATACCTGACACCCCAGCTTATAAAGAGGAGAGTTTCCTTGGTTCACAGTTTCCAGTGGGTTCAGTCTGAAGTCGGCTGGCTCTGAGGCGGAAATGCACGGAGCGAGGGCACGGGGAAGGAAAGCTGCTCACCCTCCAGCCACAGCCCCCCTCCCAGCAGCACACTCGGCTACAGAACTCGTCAGCGGCTGGTCCACGGAGGAGTGTGCACCCCGATGCATCAGCTTCCACACACGAGACTGTGGGGGCGTGTTCTAAATCAAAACCACGATACTTGAGGGCATTTTTCTCTAATAATTCCTTCTATTTTTTTTAAGACGAAATGGTGTGCAAAAAGCCTCTACTTGATGTAGGTTGTAAAGATGAGTGACAACACGGAGCCTTAGTAACCACACTACAGAAACAAGCCCTTGAGCTTTGCTAAAGGAGGTTCCTGTTGATGGGAACTGCAGAACCGAGCTCAGATTTCCTGTGCTGAGGAAATGACCCGAGTAGCGCTAGTACCAAAATACATTTTTCTAAATTACAATAAGCTGCATTGTTCCCACGTAGTTCAGCTTAGGATATTTTCACAAGGTGTCATATTTAATATTAAATCTAAGTCTTTTTCATCATTAATTTTCTTGAGTACGACTTAATAATATCAGTCCTTATTATAGTACACATTTGATTATGGAAGAAAGTAGTCTTTAAGTAAATCTAAAAAAATGTTGGGTTCCATGTGATTGTAGTATACTAGTCCAAGAAAATGAGATCAATCTTTTGTGCTGCTTTAAAATCAGGACCCCTGCCGGGCATGGTGGCGCATGCCTGTGATCCCAGCACTCGGGAGGCTGAGTCAGGAGGATTGCTGTGAGTTCAAGACCAGTCTGGGCTACATAGTGAGTTCCAGGTCAGTCTCAACTGCATAGTGAGACCCTGTCTCAAAAATAAATAAATAAATATTTAAAAAAATAAAAACAGAACCCCTTAGCCAGGGATTTAGCTCAGTGGTTCTGCTGCCTGCCTCGAAAGTGCAAGGTCCTGAGTTCAATCCCCGGTACAAAAAAAGAAAGAAAAAATGACCCCAGAACCACCTGGCTAACAGTGAGGATTCCACAGGGCTGGAGCAGATCTCTGAAGCTTCCTGTGTCTGCTCTTCCCCAGTGCCATGGCGCTGGACCTCTAGGTAACAAGGCTGCAGTTAGAAGTAGGTGTGTCTATGAACACGTATCCCAGCCTTCTGCAAACTGGGCACGACAACCCCAAGTGTGGGTGAGCGGGGCTCTGCCCTGGAGTGGTTAGGGGAGCGAGTTGGCACGTAATTGCAAACTATTGTGTTTAATTTTTTTTCTAATAAGGCAGTCAAATTCTTTTCAGTTAGAGGAACTAGTTTAAACACTTCTCAGTTACTTTTGAAATATCTGCTTTGATGTGTAATTCCTGGCCAATGCTGCTTTGGGAAACCTTTCCCCAGCGCTTACTGCCTGAGCCACCTTCTGCCAACCACGATGGCAGGAGGGAAACAGCTAACTGTCCGGTGCCTTTGGTGCCACAGAGCTTGGCCAGGGACGGAAGGTGGGAGCAGGGGCTGGGGGGGCAGAGGTCTTCAGAGGGCTGACGAGCGTGGTGCTCATCGTGGTGCCTGTGAAGCTTGCGAACATGCCTGACCGCCTCTCCTGCTGTTTTCAGTACCTTACCTGGAAAGTGCCTGGAGCAGATCGCTGAACAGATGCACGTCCATAACATCAATGCCCTCTTGATCATTGGTGGATTTGAGGTACATATTGTTTTAGTTTTGAGGTCTGAGTGATAACCCTGGGCTGGCTTCACACCCAGCAGTAGTTTGCTGACTACCCTGCAGGAACTGGGAGTACAGCCCCTGAGCCCAACTGTCACCGGCTAGTTGTGACGCAGATGAATAAATGGTGGCAGAATACGGCATGAGACTGACCTGGTTCCAGGAAAGCAACACGCTGGGGAAGCTAAAGCATGGCTCCCTCGCCGAGCCTCGTCTGTCCCATGAGTTCTGAGTTTTTTCCAGTCTGTGGAAATCCAGCTCTTGAATTTGAAGTCAGCTGTCTCTTTAGAGAGGAAAGTAGTTACATGGTTAAATTTCCGTTATAGATTTTTAAAATCACATGCACTATTGGACTGTAGTCTTTAGTTATATCCTATTCAATAAAGATCGGTCTCATGATAACCTTTTGGCTAAAAAAATGTAAGAACCTCAAAGAATCAGATTGTCACCAATAATAGATTATTTAGTCCACCTTCAAATGATAATGTCTACTTTTCTCCTTTGTGCTTAGAAAATCGTTTATCCTTGTGTATGGTCTTAACGCATCTCTGTTGATTTTGTAGTGGTCCCTGGTGTCCCACCCTGTACCCTGGTAGAAGTGGCTCCCTGAGGCTCCCACCCCTCGCACCGGTGCCTCCCTCCGTGTGCCCCGCTCCCCCTCCTGGCCCCCACAGTCACACACACTTATCTGACAGGCCTACCTGGGACTCCTAGAGCTGTCAGCTGCCCGGGAGAAACACGAGGACTTCTGTGTCCCTATGGTTATGGTTCCTGCCACTGTCTCCAACAATGTGCCCGGTTCCGATTTCAGCATCGGGGCAGACACAGCTCTGAACACTATCACAGACGTAAGTGTGCGCCGGCCGGCAAAGCAGGTGCGGCGGATGCTAACCCAGGCTCTGAGCCTTTTATCTACCAGTGCACTAGAAACAGCTCCTGCCAGCCACCACACAAAAACCTAAAGGAACTCTTTCGTTCATTTATTTTTGCACAACAATATATTAAAAAGTCCTTCGGGCGCAGGCAGGGGATTTAGCTCAGTGGTGCCACCTCCTGCCTCGAAAGCACAAGATCCCCAGTTTGATCCCTGGTACGAAAACAAAAGTCCGTTAGGCTCTGGAAGTCGTTGGTCCAGCTGCCCAGATTTTTACCACTGTCCTCCTGTGCCGCTGCTGGGCTGTTGCTCATCGCTGTCCAGACCCGCAAAGCTCCAGTGAGCTGAGGCCAAGTGGATCACATCACAGTGTTTTGTGATTCGATAATCATTGAAATTAGCTGGGGTTTTTTTGTTCTTGTATTTTATTTTGGCTGAACCTAACGTATTTCCAGCCTATAACATCTTATTGTGATAAATCTTGACTTCAAGGTTCTTTACTTATTGCTTAAGGGTAGACATTGAGCTAAATATCTTATAATTTTATTCATTGACCTGAATTTGTTGTTTTTTGTTTTGTTTTGGTTTTGGTTTTTGGTTTTTGGTTTTTGGTTTTTTGAGACAGGATCTCACTATGTAGTTGAGACTGACCTAGAACTCACTGTGTAGCCCAGGCTGGACTTGAACTCACAGTGATCCTCCTGCCTCAGCCTCCCGAGTGCTAGGATTGATTACAGGTGTGTGCCACCAGGCCCGGCCCTGAATTCATTGTTTACATTTATTATATTTTGGTTATCACCATTTACATTATTCTTCCACTGGTAAATTGGTGATCTTAAATTACATCCAAAAATATTGATGCTGTTTTAGATTTTTTTAATTCATTGTCTTAAAATTTTTCATTAATTCTCAGGTTTTTATTTTCCTTAGGAGACCTACATCTTGTAAATGATGGTTTTTTTTGTTTTTGTTTTTGTTTTTGTTTTTTTTTGGTACCAGGGATTGAACTCGGGTCCTTGCACTTGCAAGGCAGGCCCCCGAACCGCTGAGCTAAATCCCCGGCCCATAAATGATGTTTTTTAAAGATTTTTTTTTCTTAAATTCTTGGCATCAAACTTACTTCTAGTATTGGTAAATAAAAGCTGCTCAAAAAGCTTTCAAATTCAGATGGTGAGTATTGCATAGCACTTATTTCTTGCTTTTCTGAACTCCCTAAGCCTTCCTCAGTTGCTTTACTAACACACCGTGCCCAGTGTCTTCCAGAAGCAATGTTTATTTATTTGCCACCACTAACCTCTTACTTAGATACTGCATGTGCTTTTCTGGTGACTGTCGTTACAGCTTTTGCTGCTATTGACTGATTTGGGCTCCTGGTTAATTTTCATTTGTGAATATAAAGATGAGTGTCTCCCACAAAATGAATTTTACCTTTTTTCCCTCTCTTTTATCTGCTTTAGGTAGCTTTTAAGTCTGTATAAGCTGAGTTTGCAGAGAAAGAAATTAAAGTTTCTTTTCTTCATTGTCACCTAATTAAATTCATCTTAGTGGCTGAGGTGGGGATCTGAACAGCTGTCATTTGCATTTAGTGGGAGCAAAGCTTCCATAGGTGTTGGCCAAGATTGGTGTTTATCTGAAGCTCGTGTTTGTCTCCTCGTAGGTAATTGATATTCACTTTCAGGCGTGAAGGAAAGATTCTCTCATTTTATAATTCCAAATTTCTATGCTACAAGAATTGTTTTCCCCAGATTTTAAATATAATACATATATAGTGGAAAATCTGAAAACTGCAATATATAAGGGTTAAATCTCCAAATTATCTGTCCCCCTTCCCTTTTACTTCCCTTTGAGGGATTTTGTAAATGTTGTTAAATTAGTCCTTCATTCATTTGAGTTTTTCAAGACTAGATTGACCAGTGATAATGTTTGAGAAAGAAAAACACGAGTGGGTAGTTCACATTCATGATGGATTCAGACACAGTCGTATGTGGTGTGTGAATGTCTCCCTGGGGCTGTTCTGGTGCTGATGCTCCAAAGAGGTGGATCTTCTTGGTTCTGCTGTTTAAAGGTGGGTGGCCAAGGCTGGGCCAGTCAGGACACCCCAGTGAGTGCTGCAATTGCTGTGGAGCCCCGTGAGAAGGAGAAGATAGCTAAGTGTCCTTTGGTGTCTCCTGAGTAGAGCATCCAGAGTACAAACATGATACCAGCTTCTTCCAGTGTTCTGTCTGTGAACAGTGAAGTTGATTCCTTTTTAGTGGTTCCTGTCTGGTTTTGAACTAGGCTAGGCTGACCATAACATTGACTAGGGACTGGCATCATCTCCAGAAAATGAGGACATGAGGGACATAAGGCCACCCCATATCCCTTCCACCACTGCCCTGGTCTATCGAGGAAGCCCTCAAGGATGAAGTGCCCATAGCAAGTAGTACCAGTGCACTAAGTGTATACAGTAGCCTAAAGCAGGTATCCTAAGCAGGTTCCTGTCTGGTCTGGGCGGCATTTAATTTTATAATCCGTGGACACCTCCCAGTAGCAAGTGGTTCCTTTTGTTCAGAGTTCAGTGGCCCTCAGCTGTAGATATTTGCACATCTAGGGGACGTTTGCAATGTCAAGGAACATTTTGGGTTGTTAGAACTGAAAAAAAGGATGTTCCTGGCATCCAGTGGGTAGAAGTCAGGAATTCTGCTCATTATCCTGCAATGTACAGGACACTCCCCACCACTGGGATCTGGCTTTATCAAGGCATAGGAAACCCTGAACCAGTCTTATTTTATCAAGCTATCATCACCTTTAGATGTTTAATCATTGTTTTCATTAATCACTTCTTCCTTCCCAGCAGTGATGCTTAGCTTCAAGATGCATCCTTAGAAATGAATCTCAGAGGATGCAGACAGTGAGTCATGTGGACAGAACAAAATTAATAAAGTACCTCAAGGCAGGTGTTTAGGAAACTCTCATGATACAGTTGCAGGACTTTTCAGTTGGGTTTACCTTCTATCCCTCAGCATTGGCGCGGCATTGTGTTCCAGCTCAAAACAGCCAGAGCAAGCTGAGCGTGAGCTGTCGGTGAATGCTGTGAGGGTAGCATTGACCACACACAGCCCAGTTGTTAGCCCTGAACTGTGATCACCAAGAACCTGAAAAACCATAAGTACATCCCTAAAACTCTATGCCATCTTCTTTCTTAGTGTGGAATGCTCCAAATGTGCAGAGAAGTTTAGCAGTGTTTTCAGATGTGCACACCTGGTGCCAAGAGCAAGTACAGCCACTGTCACTCCCTGCAGGACCCCAAGGCAAGACTCTCCTGTGCCTTCAGGGCTTCCTACTTTCCTGGGAAGGGCTCCCCAGTTTCAGGATGCTCCCTCATTTGCTCAGAGATTGAAGAAACAAAAAAGCAGTAAAAGGGAGCCAAAACATACAAAGTACTTGGAGCGATGCAACCATTATCAGAGGTTTCAAAGAGGAGTTAAGGAGCTATCACCCCCTGACCGCAGTCACCCCTTCTCAGGCCCCACTTGGCCCACATGTAATACTCTGGTCTCCAAGGTGCTCGCCTGCACCCTTTGACCTCAGGCAGAGGCCTTCTGAGAGACACAGCCAGCATCCTCTATTACCCTGAGGAAGTGCCTGTCCCGGATTAACCCTGAGCTGGGCTACTTCTCAGTAACGTGAGTAAAAATGCTTTTCTAAAAGTGCTGAGGAGCCCAGCAGATAGTGTGAGTGCTGGCCAGTAGCTTCTAGATAGTTGTGATGTAGGTTGGCATTTTGAACGATGCACCGCAGTAATGACCACAACCAGAGTCCAATGTAGAGCTCATTCAGAAACCCCCAAGGGGCCACGTTCTAAGGTCTGGTGGAGGTGAGGGCTGGCTGTGGTGGGCACTGGGGAGACTCCACCCACACTGAGTCATCATGTCCCAGGACTGTCTCGTGTCAGGTTCCTGCTGACAACTCGAAGGGCTAGCCCACTGCAGTTCCACAGCCCATGGTCCAGAATCCTTGAGCTACACAGGCACTGGAACTCCGAATGTTTGGAGTGCAGAAAGGTACTACAAGTGTGCGCCATTTCTTACAAAACCCTTGTAGGGAGGCCTCAGCCCCCATCTGCTCCCAACGTTAATATCTCTGCAGCAGACTGGATTGACATATTGAGAAACAGGACTATAAGTGGGTTGGTCAGTCAGGCCTGCCACCTCCTAAATGGTTTATAGAAACTTCTTGCTCTGTAAAGTGCTGCTTGGATTTAGGAGCTATGGGTAAGTGGACCTGCATTCTACCACTAACTTGGTTTTCACCCAGGGCGGATAGTTAAAACCTCTGCCTATGGGCTAAAGAATAGCTCACTTTCTTGACATTAGAGCTAAATGGTTTCACACTGGAACTCCAGAGCAGTTGACTGGATTCTTGCTGGTCTATCCTGCTTTTAATGTAAGCACTGCCCAGAGCCCTGAAAGGAAAGCTCCCTCCAGAAGGGAAGTGAATTCTCCGCACAGAGCAGAGAGGTTGCAGAAGCTTGGGGTCCCCAGTAATTGGCCTGTGGGTAACGTATCGCATGCCTTCTTTGTGTCCGTGTTCTATGGCAGCATGCTTCTGCCCGCAGGGGACCCCTCCCTGCATCGGTGATAACAGCCTTTTGACGTCTTCCAGGCAGCATGTGTTCTCCCACCCTTTGCCTGCAGAAGTTACAGGATTGGCATTGATCGTACTTAAACTTCCCAACCTAATTGGCCTTCCCCACCTACTCTGAGATGCCAAGAAGCGAGCAGCTGTTCCGTCTAATGACTAACACTGTGATGCCACTTCTGTCCCCTGCCTAATGCCTGCTTTGCCGCTTGCTTTGCACCACCTTAAGTCAGCTGCTTATGACGTCCCCCTGTGGGGTGAGGGGGATGAGGATGCGGGCCATGCCATGTGGCCCATGCATGATTGAGACACACCCTCCCATGCATGGATGCTAACACGGGCATTCCTTCGGCTCTGTCAGTCCGCACGAAACAGCTGCACCCTGCTGACTGAGGTCCTGCTGACACATCCTGGAGCCCCGGCCCACACCCCGTGACCAGCAGGTGATGTGCCTGTGTCCCGCTAACTGCCATGGCCCTGCTGCTTCAGGCTGTCCACAGTGCGTTCATGATGGCTCAGGCCCGAGAGAGCCATGAGGAGCTTTGCATTCCTGTGTGCATCCTGGCTGCTACTCTTAGCAACAGTGTCCCAGGCACAGACTTTAGTATTGGTTGTGATACTTCCCTGAATGTGCTTGTTGAGGTAAGAGAACTCTGTTTCTGCTCTTGCTTTGTTTTGTTTTAACCATGTGTCTCTTCTGCCTTAAGAAGACTGCCTGTCAGGCCCAACTCCCCCCATAGGGTCTTTGTCCTCCCCGATCCCAGTCTAAGCAGAAGGTGAAAGGCGAGCCAGTCATGTGGCTGCAATCCACATGGGAGGCTGAGGCCGAAAGACTGCACGTTCAGGGCCAGCTTAGGCAACTGAGCAAGACTTTGCCTGAAAATTGAAATAAGGCCTGGAGATATAGCTTAATGGTAGAGCTCTTGCCTAGCACGGGTGAGATCCTGGATTCCATCTTAAGCATTGCCAAAATAATTTTTTTTAAAGAAGGAAAGGAAAAGCAAACTGAAAGGCGAAATCCATTCAAATAGTCTTTCAGAATAAATGGACCAAATTTGTTATTCTTTTCCCCCCTATTAGCTCTACTCTGTAACAGGATAGTTTCTCCAAGTTCCTCTTGGGGGAACGCAATTAAAAATAAAATGTTCTATACAGCCTCTTCATAATAGTTCTGTACCACCTAAGCAGGGGAGCCGTGAGTGTCATTCTGCTTCTGTCCAAAGTCTAACAGCAAGAGCTGTGCCATGAGAGGGGGGTTCAGAGCAAGTCACAGAAATGCGCACAAGGGGATTTGGATGCTGGGTGAGTATGAAGGCTCCAGGACGGAGCATGCAGATCCATCTGGGCAAAAGGAGTCACAGCCTGCCATCCTTCCTGGTGAGATAAGAGGCACTCTGGCAACTAATGTCACACTGTCCCAGGGGAGTGCTGCACCAGGGACAGGTCCCAGGAGGTCCCTCACACGGAGCTGACACCCATGCTGTAGTGTGTATAACATGCAGACCTCTCATGAGCCCAGTGTGCTGACCCCTCTGCATGGGATGTAAAGGCTCACGAGGTAGCTCCAGAGGTTGCACCCATAGGAAGAAGGATGGTGGCCGTTCTGTGGTGACTTCTCTTCCACTGTGCCTGGCACCCCCACAACAGCAACTGCTGGCCTCTTTAGATGTTCCAGAGTTTGCGGGGAGAAATCACAACTTTGCTGGATAAATTCCTTTGTTCAACTTGACACAGAACCTCAGAGAACAGCAGCTTCATTCCTGGTTCTCCTAAGTTGAATTATGAGGCAGGAAAAGGAGAAGACCTCCAGTCAGGCCAAGCATCCTAAATCTCCATTAGAAGTTTTGCACTTGACTCTTAACCTGTCGCCATCGTGCTTGTTCTCCGGGTGTCCCCAACAAGGGGACAGCCTCCCAGAGGCTGACCTCAGCTCGAGACCAAGGTAGAGGCTTCCTTTGGCACCCCTCCCCCTCCTGAGAGTTCTGTTGCTTTGCATGTTGGATAAGATTATAGATTATAGGCTGTAAGTTATCCCCTGTCACTGAGTGCTGGGAGTGTCCAGGCCTTGACCTGGCTTTCCTGTCCTTTAACATCTAGGACAAAATGTACCACCTCAGCAGCTTTAACCCCTTAGTGCACATGGCATAGAACCACCCCGGCTGCACTAGCAGGGAGACGAAATTCACTCAGCCGACAGGGTCGTGACCAATTCTGTGCACTGTCCAGCCTCTGTCCCGTCTGGTCACCCAAGTTCAGCCCTTGAAAGAATCTCACAGTCATGGGGAAACTAACCTAGTTCGTTAGAAGAGCAAGCATGTTCCCACACTAAAAGTCCACTGGGGTTCTTTCTCCCCTCTTAACCCAGTAGTAGACCTTTCGTTTAACCTTTCGCTGTTTTCCTCAGCAGCCAGTGTAGCAATGTGTGAACCATAGCTTGGAGCAGTGTGTCGGCTTCCATAGGCTTTTCTCTGAAGAGTCCTCTGTGTGTGACATGGGCCACTGGTGTTTGCTGCATATCGACAAGGGAGTCCAGCTATGGCTGCTGTCTACACAGTCCACGCAGTGGGGATGGCATTACCTGATACTTCCTCCCACCCCAAACAACCAGGGCCGCCAGAGTGTGGTCAGGTGGCATTTGCACCATGGCTTTTCCTTGTCTCTACTTCTTTGAGTAACTGAATGTGACAAGGCTGGAATAGCTTACTATTCTTAGAAGAATCTAATTCAAGCCTTCAGAAACAATCCGGGTGATGAGGGAATATTTAGGAACACTGTATTTAAACTCCATGCAAAGGTGGATGATTGCAGTCCAGCTGTCATTACTTTTTGTCAGTGGCATACAGAGAATCGGCCTTCACTCGGTCGTCAGGGCCACGCAGTGTCCGCTGTGTCTCACTGCCGGCCCGGCTGGGTCAGAGTTTGAGACTCATAGCCTCGCAACATAGCTGCTTTGCCAGAAGTGTTTGTTTACTGTTAAGCAATCAAGACATTATTCTTTGCGTTAGCAACAATAATTCCCCTTAACATGGGTATGTGGGGGATGGTGACAAGACTAGGGCCCCATCTCCCTTCCTGAGTTCCCTCAGAACCACAGGGACAAGTTTAGAGATTCGGTAGGATCAGCTGATGGATGGGCCGGCTGGTACACATGCGTTTTTTTCGTCCAGTGACATTTGTTGAGCACCTGCTGTGTTGGAGGCACAGTTGGCTGCTGACAGTACTGCAGGGTGTAGTATAAACCCAGCCCAGGATTCCTGCTCTTGGGAAATTTGCATCTAGTGAGAAATACAGACCCAAATCAAGTAACTGCACTAGGGATGGCAGGAATATGTGCTGGGATGGTTTCCATGAAGAAAGGACACAGATATCATGAGAGCCCCTAGCGGGCAGCTGCCTTGTCCTGGAGATTGGGCAGCATTTTTCTGAGGAAGTGACATTAAACTGGCTTGAAGCTAAGGAGGCAGGAAGGAGCCTGAGTTTCCTGTGTCTGTTGTAACAAAGGACCACAAACTTCGTGCCGTAAATCAGTATTCACTTTGCCACCGTTTTGCAGGGCAGAAGTGAGGGAGCTGAAGTAAAGGGCTAGGCTCCTGAAAGTGCCTTCGTGCCTCTTCTAGTTTCTAGAGCTCCTTTCTTTGCAAGCCGTAGGCCCTGGCCTCTCCCGTTCCTAAAACTAGCATACAGCATCTTGCTTCCGTGCTTGGTGAGCCGCCTCTGCATCGAATCTTGCTGTGCCTCTGTCTTCTCAGAACCCACACGGTGGCACTTAGGGTCCACCTGGATAATCCAGGATAATCTCCAGGTGTCCAGATCCTTAACTGAACTCCACGGGAGGGAACATTCCCAGGCTCCGGGGATCAGGCTCAGGAGACCTTTGCTGCTTCTGTTCCAGTCCCCCGCCATGCCTGGAGACTCTGGGCCAGGCCAGCAGCTGGAGTCGAGAATGGCCAGAAAGTCTGACACAGACTTGAAGAAGTAGTTATGGAAATGTTTTGAGGAGGGCTAGACCTCAGTCAGATTTGGTTTCCATAGGTGGCCCTCAGCTGAGTGTAGACAGATGGGACACTAAGTACTGGGTTAGAGGCTTCTACAGCGCCCCAGGGAAATGAGTGGCACCTAGACTGGAGTGATTGGTGCGAGGTGGTAAAGGGATTTTTCTCGTTTTTCTGTACCCCAAGCCTGGGCCCTCATGGTGGACAGCAGGAGCAGGATGTTTTCGTTCTGAGGCCTGGTGCCTGTTTGTTTGGAAGGTTTCTCTGGGTGTCTTTGTCCAAGAAGCTACTATCTGTGACTAGAAGTAGCCTAACCATGACATAACCTCCATGGTTACACTGAAGATAACCAAAGCCCAAATGGCGGGGGGAGTTTTTGAGAAGAAAATAGCACAGTGATTGCCATTGACACTCCCGTAAGGTCTGACTTCACAGCAACTCAGTGTTGACCTCCTGTGAAAGCACCAAGGACGCATTCAGAAAGCAGTGAGCCGGCCTGAGGAAATGGTAGTGCTAGACCAGGTCCCCAGCGGATACCCACCGTGGGTGACTGGAGTGCGCGCAGGGCAGGTGTCAGGTGGGGGCAGCATCCTGGCAGCTGTGCGCACCGCTGCTCCTGATTGCACGTGCAGGCTTGGTGGAGGGACTTGCTGGCTCGAGGGGGGCAGTAGCGCTCGGGGCTAGCGTGCTTCTGGCCCTGGCTGAGGTCCTGCCTTGGAATAATTGACCTCTTCTATCTTTGACCAGACATGTGACCGAATCAAACAGTCCGCCAGTGGGACTAAGCGTCGTGTGTTCATCATCGAGACCATGGGGGGCTACTGCGGATACCTAGCCAACATGGGGGGGCTCGCGGCTGGAGCCGACGCCGCCTACATTTTTGAGGAGCCATTTGACATCAGAGATCTGCAGGTATGTCACAGGGGCAGGCGCTGTGATGCTGCACACTTCAGGATCTGTTCAGTGCTGTTAAATGAATGCTCATATTTGTATTTGTTTGTTTTTAAGCGATGGAGATGGTATTGCAGAATATCCCACATCACCTGCCCTTCAGTTAGCTCATTTAGTTCAAACACTTTCACTTTGGTACTAGGAGCACTTCGGTGCAGGACAGTGAGTAGTGGATGAGGGCCCTTTTATTCTTGTGCATGAAAAACACAGGCTTATGCTCTTTTAGTCTGTAACTAAATGATTTCATCTATTACATTTTTTGAGGAGTTTTTTTTTGTATGTTTTCTTATATGTGTCAAAAGGCATTCAAAGATGATATTACTTGTTCAATATGTTAATTACTTGTTTAATACTTTAAGCAGCTTCTCTTAGGCCTCAAGATATGGTCAGATTCCCAGTGTCCCCTTATACCTGACGGGGGGATAGATTTGTGGGGTTGGAGGGAAATACCCTGGCTGGAGCTCTGGCACCCGCCCACAGGAAGCAGCCTAGAGCCTTGCGCAGTGCCGAGTTCAGCTGGGAAGATGAGGTGCCCACCGCTAGGGTGGACAGAGCTGTCTGGGACAGGACAGGACAGTGGCTTCACTCTCGTTAGGGGATGGCACACAGGCCACCAATAAGGAATGAGGCAGGAACCAAACTTAATGCTCTTTTCCTGGTTTATGCTGTTTTCTTTTTTAATATTTTAAAATTAACAAATTTGGTTTTGAGAGCAGTTTTAGGTTTATGGTAAAATAGTGCAGAAGGTACATGTAGAGATTTCCTTTATTCTATATATACCTATGCTATATCTACCACAGTGGGACACAACTGTAGATGACCCTTCACTGACAAGGCACTGCCCGAGTCTGTGCTTTCTGTGAGGACCCTCTCTTCCATTCCCATGGCCTCTGTTTCAGATGAAAACCTGACTCAGTCGTCATGGGCTTCCAGCCTCAGGTTCTCCCAGGCCTAGACCTGGTCTGGAGTCCAGGGCCTGGTGGGAGGCACGACCCCAGTTGCAGGTGGTCACCGGTTAGGTGAGGAGGAGACAGCAGGAGGCTCACAGGGCCGGCGTCTGCTCAGATCCTGTAACCTTGACAAGGTGCTAAACTCCGTGGAGGGCTCAGCCTGGGAGGTGATACAAATCATTCCACTCTTTATGGATGTTATGATGATACCTTTGAACTAAATCAAGTAAAGAGATGGTTTGGTGTTTTTGTTTAGTTTTGCTTTTGCTTTTGCTTTCTTTGCTTTTTGGTACTGAGATTGCACCCAGGGACTACTGAGCTACATCCTCAGCCACTCCCCGCCTTTTATGAGACAGGACCTCACTAAGCCACTAAATTCCCCAGGTTGGGCTTGGACTTGTAATCCTCCTGCTTCAGCTCCCAGAATCCTGAGATTATAGACAGGCACAGCCCTGCATGGCTCAGTATTGTTTAATGGCATGTCTATATGCCTGTGACGTGGATGGACATTAAAACCATGAATTTATTGTCAGTGCTGAATTTTTTATTCTTCAAAAGCCTATCTGATGACAGTGACAAACTAGTACCTACCATAGCTCTTGGCCCATGGTAGATGCTTAAGAAAGTTACTTATGACTAAGATATGATTATACTTGAAAGCTCTCATTTTTTTTTCATTGAGTTTATTGGTACATTTTAGGTATACAGTACAGTTACATTTATCATTGGACTCTTGTACCTTCACATGACAGGTCTTGGTTCTCAATTTTTCCCCTTGTCCCTGCCCTCCCTTTACCCCCTCTACCCTCCCGTTTACAAACACTTTATTTCCATTTTTTCCTTTTCTCATATTTTTTCTTTTCCCTTTTTTCCTTTCTCCTACCCTTCCCACTTCCCGTACACCTTTAAAGCTCTCAGTTTTTAGGATGAGTCACTGGGAAATTAACTTTTTGTGATCTTTACATATTAAGATGTTAATGCACATTGTTCTTTCAAGACATTTCTTTCCCTTAATAGAATTTATGTATGGATGGATGAGTCTTCACATTCTTTTCTTGGTCAGAAACCATTCATAAGGATTCTATGTAGTCAGGCAATAGATAATGATTTTCTTTTGAGAGTTCTGAGAACAGTGTCATGAAAATGAGAAGGAGCAACAGATAAGTGTAAAAGCATTAGGCAAATATATAGGATAAAATAAACATTTAAAGAGGGAAACCTGTTTGTTTTTTAAAACACTCCCTGTGGAAACTATAAATTCCACTCACTAAATATGCCCAATAATGTAGGCCCGTGTATGAGTCAGCTTTCTGGTTGCTGGGACACAGTACTCAACACAATTCAGAAGAGGTTGAATTTAGCTCAGTTTCAAGGGGTTCAGTCCATGGTCAGTTGGCCAAGGCAGGAACAGCATGGGAGAAGGGTGTGGTGAGGCAAAGCCGCTTAGTTCATGGCAGCTGATAAGCAGAGCAGGGGAACAGCAGTTATCAGAGAGGTAGGAGCCCAGGTACCACACAGAGACCCTATTTAGAGGCACCCAGAAGTGTGCTCCACCAATCCCAAGACCATCAAGTTGATATAGTCAGTAAGCTGACATAATCCAGCTTAACCCACACCTACTTCTATCACACATTATATTATCTTGATTTAGTATCGTTAGCCTTTGTGTTTACCATTACCTGATGCAGTCTTGGCTTTTGCAGTCTCCTGCAAAGAAGTAGTACGAGCTTCTGTCTGATCTCTTACTTGCTGCTACATTCCGTCATTCACCTTATAGTACTGGCACTCAGTAGATGCCTAGTAAGCATTGTCTGACGAACAAAATAATTTTTTTTTAGTCCAATGTGGAGCACCTGACAGAGAAAATGAAGACCACCATCCAACGAGGTCTTGTGCTCAGGTAATGAAAATATACTTGTAATCTTATTTCATTTTAGACCCAGGTTCTAAGAATCTGTCCCATGCTCTGAAATATTAGGCATCTGGGTCCTTTTACCAATGATTCTCACTATAAAAGTACATGTTTACATTAAATAAAAGGTGATTTTTAAGATTTATTTTTGCTTTGTAATTAGTTGTTTTTGTTTTATTTTTCTCAGTATTTCCCCCAATTGTTTCTTTAACTAAGCCACGGAGCTTTATGAAAAAAGGAGCGTACACCTACAGTCAGGGTAGGGGCAGAGGATTAAGATGACTGAGTTGACAGGTGGCCAAGCAGCCCCGGCCATCTGCAGACTGACAGGAGTGAAACACCACCCCAGAAAACCCCACTCCCTAGGGCTTGGTGAGTGAACGCAAATGCTTTGCACTCTTTTCAGAAATGAGAGCTGTAGTGAGAATTACACCACCGACTTCATTTACCAGCTTTATTCAGAAGAAGGAAAGGGGGTATTTGACTGCAGGAAGAACGTGCTGGGCCACATGCAGCAGGTAGGGTGACATCCCAGGGTCCTTGTAGCCCTCATGAGTCCACCAAGCAGAACACAGGGCACTCACTACTCATGTGACCCTTTTAAGTAAATTCCATCAGGATTTAAAAACAACATCTAGTGTTTACGACATATGAAATACCATCAGCTGTAGGGTTCTTTCTCTCGTGATAGTTGGGGTATATGGGGATTTTAAGGAAAAAATACAAACTTTCCTATAAATAGTGACACCAGTTCACTGGAAATTCTTATCCAAATTATTTTGTTAAATTAAATATTGGGATTTATTGTCTAAAATGGTGTATCAGTTCAGCGATGTTTGAGATTTACACAAAATCAAAATGACTTGGAAAGAATTGGATGTGCACTCTCATTTGGATTTATAAGTGTGCTCCATGTGACAGCGGAGCTGGGCTTGGGGGATGTGGTCCTGGGTCCCCGAACTTAGGGGTTTCTTTCCATCGTTGTCTCCTCTTCTTTGTGTTTTAGAAAAAATTTTAAATGGGGCCCATAAAACTTGGAAGTGTTCATGAATTCATAGTACTATAGAAAGAAATAGTAGGCAATGCATACATTTGTGAAATGAGTCCAGAGTACATCAGATTCTTAAAGGAAATTATGATCCCTCCCAACCCAAAAATAAGTTTACAAGGCTCTGACAGAAAATTCTGAAATAGTGAGAACTGTTAGATGTTTGTCCACTTGACAGAAATCCTCATCGGATGTGGCCAGAGCATTACGATGCTGAGTAAAGGCCGCAAGAATCAGATTTTTGCTTTTGTTTGTTTTACCCAACTGTACATCAAAAAGAGCAACCTATATTTACAAGTTTGCTTCCATTAAAAATATGTGAATATTATTATTAACTTACAAAAACGTTCATTCGTTTTTAAAAATAAGCAGAGAAGTATTGTTGTGTGACTAATATTTCACATCACTGACCCACCAACAGGGTGGAGCGCCTTCTCCTTTTGATAGAAACTTTGGGACCAAGATCTCTGCCCGAGCCATGGAGTGGATCACCGCCAAACTGAAGGGATCCCAGGGCAAAGGTATGTCACAGGGAGGCTGGTCCTCACTGCGAGGCGGAACGTTGTATGAATTGGGGAGCTTTTCCTTTTCAGTCATAACAGTGTTTGTCTCTCAGTATTGCTATTTATAACTTTCAGAGTTATAAACACAAATATGACCTACGATTGGATTTTTAAATTACAGTAAATAGACGTTGCTATTAATGCCCTTCACAAATGCTTTCCTATCTTCACCCACACATATCCACCATTCATTCTTGCCACTCCCTGAAGCAGTTCTCCAAGTTCTCTTTCAAATACCTCCAGTCAGCTGCCTCGACAGCCTCATGAGTTACCCTTTCACGGCCATTGCGACTTGGGAGAAGAGCCTGAAGTTGCATGATGCCAGCTCCGTATTTTGAGCATACCTCATCAAGAAACTCACAAAAGAACACTTCTAGAACTGCTTCAGAAAGTAGTGAGACAGCGGGATGTGTTTGAATTGAGGGAGGATACACGGTCGGTGGGTAGTGGCCATGTGTCTTTTATTATAAAACTTTTAAATTTAAATACGATGTATTTTTATCACATTTCATAATTAAAATATAATGCTTTAATTGTGCTGCTAGTGATGGAAAGCATTCAAATAATTTAGTAGCATTATTATTAGCCAGAAAATTGTTCACATGGATTCTGTCAGCAAGACTGTAAAATGTAAAAAAAAAAAGACTGTAAAGTGTGACTTTTATTTCATTGGTGATCCGAACCACTCTGAACTGGGGCTTTTACTTAAGGTACTTAAGGCTTGTTCAGTGATACCTGTACAGACTTGTTTTTTTTTGTTTTTTTTTTTTTTGGTACTGGGGATCGAACTTGGGACCTTCCACTTGTGAAGCAGGTGGCGGAACCACTGAGCTAAATCTCCGGCTCACAAATGTCCTATTTCAATTACTAAGTTCCAGCAGCTTATTCTTGTACAAATGTTTTAAAATATGGCTTTTCTAATTGGATATTGTATTTTTTGTCTTCTTGAAGGTGCTTTAATTGCTACTAAATAACGTTGCTTCTTTGCTCAAACCTTAAGTGAGCTTTGAAGGTGCAAGTTGGCTGTACATCATAGAGAAATAATAAGTGAGAGATATTGGGCATTCAGTAACAATCAAGGCATATAAAATGATCCATGTTGACCATATTAAGTTATTTAAGTCAGTTTCCTGGGTTCTAGGGCTGTGGAGCACAGATTTATAAACTGTTCATGGTTATTCAACGTTTCTAGAACGGTTCTTATTCTCACAGTGGGATGATGGTCCCATAAACAAGTTTCTTGTGGTTTGTACAGATTTCTTAAAATATGAATACTTCCTGCCTTGTACATAGAAACCAAGATTTTTTAGGATGCTGTTGCACTCCTATAAGGATTTCTTTATTGTCAGTCATAGTGCTCATACTCACATGTAAGTTGTCCATGTTGCAGAAAACAGAAGCTACTGCAGAGTCCCCTTAATACTGTACAGTTAAACTGTGCCTCTTATCTGTGATGTTGAAAGCCATTGTTTTTTCACTGTACATAGACAATTGTCTCTCTTTTTTTAATAATTCAGTACTGCTTTCTCTCTTTTTTTTTTTTTTTCTGGTGGTACCAGGTATCCATTGGGACCTTGTGCTTGTGAGACAGGCAGTGGAACCACTGAGCCAAATCTGCAACCCCGACACATTGTCTCTTCCAGATGCTGCTTACATTGTAGAGATGTAGCCAAACAGTAATAAACAATGACAGTTTTAAAAAAAGAGAGGCCGGGCGTGGTGGCGCACGCCTGTAATCCCAGCACTCGGGAGGCTGAGGCAGGAGGATCGCTGTGAGTTCCAGACCAGCCTGGACTACATAGTGAGTTCCAGGTTAGTCTCAACTACATAGTGAGACCCTGTCTCAAAAAAACCAAAATAAATAAATAAATAAATGAGACTGAACTTCATAGGTGAAGAGGGAAATGACAAATTCTTACACAAATTTACTTAACATTCTTATCTCTGAATTGTCCAAGTATTTCTCCGTTTTTCTATTGTTTGCTGATGTTTATATTATTTTATGAAATGTTCACATTAGCTTGTATTTTGTTTGCCTTTCATATTCCGAGTATCTTGCCAGACTTCGTGCAGGTATCCTCACCATCTGGGGCACACCCTGTAACAAAGTTCTCCAAATCTCACTGTCATCGGCCCACACTTGGCTTCGTGCTTTCAGTTTTGTCTCAGAACTACTCTTACAGTTTTAATCTACTTGATGAGAAGTTTAGACTCTAATTTTATACTATGTGAATAATAGATTATTTTGGTATAACGTCCATCACAGGGTATCTGTTAACCTAAAATCTGTTTCTGGGTCATGCGGCTCTTTGCCAGTTTAATGAACAATTACTGGCACCTCTCTTCTGGCCCTTCTGCCAGCGTCTGGCTATCCGCGGCCACTTGCACCATCACAGAAACACACCAGACTGTCAAGGGTTGACTAAGTTCCGGTTTTGTTTTTGTTTTGTAGGGGAGGGAGATGTTTGGATTTCATCAATAACCCACTTAAGAAAAGAACTGACGTTCTTGTAATACTGAATGTTTTCCTTAATGTTTTTGGGGGTGGTGGGGGATGTGGCCATATTCGAGACTGAACCCAAGGTCCCATGCATGCCAGACCCTCTACCACTGAGCCTCACCACTGGCCCCTTCAAAGTTTTTTGGTTTGTGTTTTAATTGAGATAGGATTCCTGTAAATTGCTCAGGCTGGCCTCAAACTGGAAATCCTCTTGCCTCAGGCCTAGGTGTGCATCACCACCCTGCCTAGCTAATACTGAACTTTCTCATTAATGACCACTGTATCTTATTCTTTTATAGAACCTTTTGTTCTTTTATCAAAGCATTGTCATAAAAACTTTATATATGTTTTGGTAAGTTTACACCTTGGTTTTTGATTTTTAAGTATATTATTATAAATGGCACTTCATATTTTATTGGTATACAGAAATACGAAAAGAACTACCTTTTGCAGCCCCTTCTCTAGATGCTATTAAAACTCATTTTTCCACGTACACCCGTACCGTCTGTACGCAGGCTTTGTGTCCTTTCCTCGGGCACCACTCAGTCCCCCCATTAAACCTGGAATAGATAGTAAGTTCCTGTGCAGTTCTCCATCCTGATGGGAACAAGAATGCTTTCAGTGTTTCATGACGAACGGTTTTACTAACTGAAGCCCGTCTGTTCCTCAGTGGTCTCTGATACATGTCATTTGCTAAGATTTTTTTTGTTCCAATCTTTAAAGGACAGAGCATTTTATAAGCTTTTTCATTCGCTGCTGGATTCAATTTGTAGCTCTTTGAGTGCAGACTATGAACGTGCACCGGCAACTTCCCCTGCAGTGCTCGCCTTGGCAGGCATCGCAGTGAACTTCTGGAGAGGGAGGCTCCCTCTAAAGGTTTATACAAGATGGGAGTTTTGCATTTTTAATTTGGTAGGAACTCTCTATGCTGAACACCTCTCGTTTTCTTTGTAGGAAAATAGGACTGCTAAATGAGTGACTATTTATAGAACAATTCATGTTTTTTCTTAAATCACTTTTGTAAGTTACATTCTCTAGGAAAACTTTCAGTTCATTTAAATTTCAAGAAATGTGGCGAGACATTTTCATAATCTCTTCTTTTTAATGCCTGCAACATTCCCTAGCCCCATTCACTCATTTCAGCTATTTATGTCAGTATTATTTTCAGTCTCCTTTAGGTTTGTTTGTTTGTTTGAGACAGGGTCTCACTATGTAGTTGAGACTGACCTGGAACTCACTATGTAGCTGTTCCAGCTGTGAGGCTGGTCTCGAACTCACAGTGATCCTCCTGCCTCAGCCTCCCAAGTACTGGGATTACAGGTGTGCACCACCATGCCTGGCTTAGGGTTCTTGATAAATCATGCCAGGTGCATGTTTTTATTTGGGCAAACCTGCATTTCTCGTTGTTGTTTTTTTGTTTGGGTTGGTTTGTTTGTGTCTTTAATACCAGGGATTAAACTTGGTACCTTGCACTTGCAAGGCAGGCACGGTGCCACTGAGCTAAATCCTCAGCCCCAAACCTACATTTCTAACATCTGGCTTACAAAAACAATAGATTATAAAAATGGTGATATAAATACTTCCAAAGAGCTAACCTAATCTTTCCTTCTGCATCAGTCTCACATATTTCTACATTTTAGATTTTCCCGATGTAACGAATGTGTATTTATTAACCTTCTTTATGTGCATTCATGACTGAAATCTTTCTGCAATTTAAGCCTATTTTCCTATTCTAGTAATTAGTGAAATAGTCACTCACCAGCATTGCTAAAAGCAAAATAAAAAAGCTCCTTTCCAGACTTCTGTCCGGGGTGACTGTTGTACCTGGTTAAGTGGCATAAACAGTCCCTCCTCTCAGTGTGTGTGAAATACGGGAGGCTCTATTACAACCTGGACCTTTCTTTTCTCCTGTCTTGAAAGGCTACAAGAGTGCCCCAGGCCAGGGATTTAGCTCAGTGGCACTGTGCATGCCTGGCAAACACAAGGTCCCTTTTGAGTTTGATTCCCAGTACTGGAAAAACAAAAAGAGGAAGAGTACCCCAGAAGAGACAGCTCCAACACAGCTGCAGAGGGCAAGCCCGTGCTAAGACAGCGCTCTTGTCAAATGGGATCCACACCACACGAGGATTCCCAAGCCTGCTTGTGAAAACTGGGAATCCCCTGGCTACCACCTCACGGTGGTTCAGAGGAATTTGAATTCTTACCTTGCTATGTGATTTTGCTCCCTGGAGTTGTTAGCATGCTTTTCTTTTCCTCTTACCATTCCTTCCTTCATAAACCATTTTGTTTGTCTATCCAATATGATTAGTAGTTCTTAGATTTTTCTTTTTAACTTTACAGGAAAAAAATTTATTACTGATGATTCCATTTGTCTGCTGGGAATACGCAAAAGAAACTTGCTTTTTCAACCTGTAACAGAGCTGAAGAAGGAAACAGATTTTGAGTAAGTCAGTGAAATGCTGTATGTCTAAATCTCACTGCTGTTAGAAGGGGTTACAGGAGTCCTGAGGACGGAGGAACACCACAGCCTAATTGATTATAAATAACTCACTCGGGTATTTTAAGGAAGGCATTGGTTTTTTGAGGATAATTTTTTTAAAAAACAAGAGTTTTAAGCTACCATGACGACACACTCCTGTGATCTCCGCGCTCTAGGAGGCTGAGATAGGAAGGATTACAAATTCAAGCCCAAACTGGGAAACTTGGCACAATTCTGTCTCACAAATTTGAAAACGGAGCTCAGTGGTATAAAGGCCCAGGGTTCAATCCCCAGTAACACACATACACTTTTAGAAATAAAGCAGAATTTTGAGAAGTGCAAAAATAGTGATTTCCTGACAGTTGTTTTATTATGCAAAATCTGTTCAGGTGGCCCACAAACCCCATCGTTTCTGGCCCCACAATACACCAGTGGCCACAGGAGCACAGCTCAGTGTTACATGGGGCACTCGTGGGTACTTAAAGCTAGCTGTCTCCTCTCCCTCCACAGGCACAGAATCCCTAAGGAACAGTGGTGGCTGAAACTCCGGCCACTCATGAAGATCCTGGCCAAGTACAAAGCAAGCTACGACGTGTCTGACTCCGGCCAGCTGGAGCCCGTGCACCCGCGTGGCACTCAGGGGGAGCTTGCGGACATCTGAACGCCACATGCCACCACCGACATGCAGACTCCCATGGCTAGGGCGACCTGGGACTCACCGGGACCATCCTTTGTAACATTTATTTATCAGCACTTCATGCGAGCATTACTGACCGTAACACCTATCAGAAGGCATAGTCGCCAGTGTCATTCCTCTGCCCCACACAGACCCCAGGACGTGAGGCCGCCCTCACACACTTGCTCCAGTGAGTTCTTTTCTGTGCCTTGTACCTTGTCTCATGCTTTAAAAATTTGTGTATCTGGTGGAATTAAAGATTTGGCTAAAATTCCAATTGTACTCTTTTTTAAATATGAGCTTAAAACATCAGGGTTTGTAGGTGGCCGCTGAAGGGTGAGCAGAGATTAGCAAAATATCTATGAGGAATCACTGGACGAGGCTCAAGTGTAAAGTCATGAAAGTAGAAAACAGACAATGCTTTGACAGATAGCAACTATCACACCGAGTAAATACGGAGCTCCCTTCTGAGTCGGTGTGGAGAACAGCCCTGGGCCAGGACACCTGAACACGGGACCAGCTCTGGCAGTGACGGCCACACAGCTGGGTAAGGTCACATAACCCCAGGCACTCATGAAATAAGGCACAGATAAAAAATGAGAAACGGAGGGCCAGGGATGTGGCTCAGTGGTGCCACCACTTGCCTCACAAGCTCAAGGACCCGAGTTCCATCCCTGGTACCAAAAAAAAAGAAAAGCAACGTGAACATAAGCCCTAAGAATAAGGTATCTTACAATCTCTTCATTTCTTCCGATCCACGATGTACATTACAACTACCAAGCATTTTTTTTTTTTTTTTAAGAATGTGACATCCAACATCCA